GCCAGAAATATCACCATAGAAAGCTTGTAAGTCTGTCTTTTGCCTATAACTGATTGGAATACCTAAAATGGTTCTACAGTGTGCCTACTGAAGGAGCCTTTCTGCGGAGCCTCTACATTCCATAAGACTATAGGTGGAATCCTGAACACAATCTTCAGAGGTGGGAAATTTCCTCTTGAAAGGATGGGAAGACCAGCCTGGAGCGGCTAAAGAACAGAAGATACTTCTTGAAAGAAAGACCGACAGGAAAAAAACCAAAACAATATAGGCAGACCGACTGTTCAGTCAAATTGCTTGCACAGGAGACATCAAGGCAAGTGGTCGGGTCCCCTCAGAGCAAACCCCCTTCTAAGATTAAAACTCGTTCTGATTGGTGACCATGTTCGTCACTGATAAAGAGAAGTGAGAGAAAAACAGCAATAAAGCTGCGAGCTAAGTCTTATAATGGTCAACAGACTCCTGGGAACCCGCATGGAGTTCTGGTTGGCCAGCAGTGTGGCAAGACCTGGGAATTCTTGGGCCCAGAGTCAGTGACATAACCACAGAGAACTAGAGTGGAGAGTGAAGCGTCCAGCTGATAAGAAGAGAGGGCATCTGCACAAGAACACTCATACGTGCAGATAATACCCACTAGACCTGGCTTCAATGACTGGATGATCAGAGCTCAACTAGAAGAAGAAGAGGAATAGAAGAGTAACTGATACAATTTGATGAACTTGACCTACACCTAGGGATGCAGTAGCTCAAAAGAGGGAACAAATCTTTACAGCAGGTATCATTCTCACCTCCTCTATACAGAGTAGACAGGGATGGGCAACTTGGACATTGGCTACCCAAAATGGTGTTGGGGGGTGGGGGGTGGCTACAAAGGCAAGAAGTGAATGGCTTACAAGCTTTTAAGAGGGAACCTAGATCCAGAGGGCATGGAGGAAGGTAGAATCTCCACTGAGTATATCCAGTCTGTCTGGACAAGATGAAAGGAAATGTGAATAGCACTCATGTGGTACAACAGTGAATAATTGCTATCAGGACTGACTGTGAGGGTTGGAAATATAAAGGTAGACATTTTGTAGCAAAGGAGGGTAGTGGTTGACTTTGCAGTCCAGGAGCAGAGGGCCCTGGGACCATTAAGGGAGAAGAGCGGAGTGCGGGACCCTACCCAGAGAAACAGTGATTCTAGACATGGAGGCAGAGACAATGACGTGGAGAGATGGGACAGCTGGGAACTCTAGACCTAGGGAGGGAGAGGGACTGTGCTGACAACCAGAGGGCAGGCTTGCAGGATATACCCTTTGGTTGGTTGATGATGCATGGAGGGGATTGTAACCATGGCAATGAAACAATATATGATAGAATGAATGTAAAGCTAATGTTCTCCCATGTAAACTATCACATAATTCATAATAAAACATTAAAAAAAAATAATACAGCTTTGGAAACCCTATGCAGGGTTACTATGAATCGAACCATTTCCACAGCACATCACCACCACCACCACCATGTAAAACCTACCACATTCTTATGAGGTATTCAATAATATGTGTTATTCCTCTTCCTGTTGTACAGAACAAGTGAAATTCCTTCTGAAAAATTACTTAAAATGGAGAGTAAAATAGTAAATTTAACCAATTTATATGCCATGTAAGATGTTAATAGAAAAAATATTTCAAATGGTCTGTTCCTGTTATCTATGACAGCTTTATTTTATATGAAACACTTCTGTACTAAATATTCATATCTGGGTTTGGGGAGGTTTTAATACATTTCATATGAAATTTAATGTGTTTTTTAATTCTCTTCATAGTGAAGGAATCAAAAACCATGTGACCTATTTTGAAAGGAATCGAGAATAAACTGATTAGTAGCGTAGTTGTTACGAATTGGGCTGCGAACCGCAAGGTCAGCAGTTCAAAACTACCAGCTGTTCCGCAGGAGAAAGATGAGGCTTTCTGCTCCCGTAAAGATTTACAACCTCGGAAACCCTGCTCAGGGTGGCTATGAGTTGGAACCGACTCCACGGCACATAACAACAACAACATGAATTTATAATGTTTCCTACTTGAATAGCAGCATAAACACTATCTAGTTGTTAACTTTAAGTAAGGAGATACAAGGAGGGGAAAGAAACAAAAAGATCTTACATAGTATGTCTTTTTTAAAAATTACAATTCCAAAAGCTGTTTCAAATGGACAACTTTCTTATATAGATGTTTCTGTATCAGGGAAGCCCCACGCCCCCCTTTTTTTTTTTAAAAAAAAAAACGTTCCCCACACACAGTGATAGAAGGATTACACTGGTTGTTGTCATTAAGTGACCTATACATTTTTTTCAGGAACAGAAAGTGTCATCTTTCTTCCACAGAATGGCTAATAGGTTCACACCACTGACTTTGCTTCTAGTACTAGAAGCCCAGATCTTCTAGTACAGAGTCATTGGTGGTGATGGTTCTGACACTATGTAGGCTTTCTGGGGCTGTAAATCTTTGCAGAAGTAGAAAACCTCATCTTTGTCTCAAGGAGAGCCTCTTAGATTCAAACTGCTAATCTTACAGTTAGCAGCCCAAGTTGTAAGCCGCTGGTTGTTTTTGTTGGTGTCACTGAGTCAGTTCTGACTCATAGCAACCCGAGGAGCAGCTGGTGAGTTTGAACCCCTGACCTTGTAGTTCAAACCGACCTTGAGGTCAAATGCTTATCCTCTGGCACCAGACCAGGACTCCAAGCCACTTGTAGCGGATGTGTTTTATATAATTTGTGTTCTTTTAGGCTTAATGAAGTTTTTTCCATATGGTAATTTAAATGCATTTATTTAAAAAGGAGATGCACAATATAATTCTAAGGATATTTTTAAACTAAAAATGCCAAAATTTTTTTAACTTTAATTTGAAAATCTTATTTAATACCTGACTAACAAGGACATTCACATTCAAGGCTGGAATCTTAATCACTGTTGTATATACTTATGATCACAACATGTTATTTTAAGTTTTTATATTTTATGCCATGGTTACAGAAACAAAGTATGGGGATACATTGTTATATTTACTGGTCTTTTGGTTTAATTTTGCATAACTTGTTTTTACCCTGATAAAAATAAGATCCAAACTGAATCTTTTTCTGTATTTTTTAAAGAATTCACTTCTAATGAGCAACAGTTCTGTATCATACAGTTAGATCACTTATACTATTAAAACTTGAATTTTTTCTTTAGCTATATTCTAATCTTTTGACTACGTATGTTTTTCAGGATACCTGGAAACTATACATTTAGTTGATATCCTGAAATCAACAGAAAGATAAATAAAATCTTCAAGTAAACATATTTTCCAGTCATATTGCCACTGAAGGTATTCTCTGAAGACTAAAAGCTCTGCTTCTTTGGGTGAGTTAATGATTAGGCTTTTATATGCAGTTGAGGTTCTGTTTTCCTTCTAAGCGCTCCTTCACTAATTTTTCTAAAGAGAAAAGATGCTCATCTGCATCTTCTGGCACAAGGTTCCTAATAGAGTTTGCAAGTTCAAAAAGATATTCTGTATTTCTTCCACTTGGGCCAACAGCATTAAAAATTTGTTCAGCAATGTCTTCCAGAGGTGCAGGACCAAGATAATTAGGATTATCACATGTTCCAATATATAACAACACACTGAATGGTTTTGTTGTTGGATTTTTTGGATAAAAAATGATTGTTTCAGTCCTGTAGCCGCCTTTCTCTCTGAAGTCAAGGTATGCTTTTACTTCTTCTTCCTTTCCTATTGGTAGTCTGTAGGCAACTCCCCATACACAACCCTGTTGAAAATTGAAAAGAAAACATCATTTAGAAGTTACAAGGCTAATTAACATAGTTGATGTGTTACAATTGAGTAAATTATATTTTCTAAGAAGTCAATTCAGTTTTACTTCATTTAAAGTGTACTCATTAGGTTTATACTAAAGAATAAGAAAATCAACATTTAAAATTTATTCTGAATAATTTTTTGTGCCATAACACAGTTGTTGTTGTTGTTAAATGCAGTTGAGTTGGTTCAAGCTCATAGCCGTCCTATGTAGGGTTTCCAAGGAGCAGCTGGTGGGATTGAACCTTACAATGCCACACCAGGACTCCATCATAACACAGCAGGCTTGTTAAAGGGTAATGGAGTCATTTATGGTATAGGGTGCCAAGTTCCCAATCCCCTCCATGCATCATCAACCACCCAAAGGGTATATCCAGAAACCCGCCCCCTACACCTCCCCCTCCTCCCCCCAGTTTTCAGCCCATAGTCCCTTTCCCTCTCTGGGTCCAAAGTCCACAGTCGCTTTATCACTCCACGTCATCATCTCTGTCTCTATCTCAGGCATCTCTGTTTCTCTGGGTAGGAGCAGTCTTTTTAAAGGAGAGAGCCCATTAATAAAGTATCATAAAAACAATGTACTTTTTCTGAAAAGAATTTAAATGGAGGGTTTTATTTTTTTAGCATTAAAGAAACTTTCTGTGATGTAATGAAGACTTACGGTCTAAAACAGTTTCTAATTTGTTGACAACCTTTAATTCTCAAATATTAGGTCTTCACACATCTGGAATGAATAAAAATTCTACTGAAACTGCCATTTTGCATATTAACTGTTTAATTAGGAGTTATAGTTACCAGTGTAAAGCCATTTTTATGGTGCTTTTTTTCTAGTGTAAATTATGAAAGCATTTCCTAATCAACGCCATCATAAATCTGCTGTCGCTAGCAGTTTGATTTTTATATATCAAAGTCTTTCTCATATTATATCTTTTATCTTTTGTTTCTGTGGTGGTTGGTGGTGGTTGTTTTCGACTCAAACCCTGTATAGGGTTTCCGAGGCTGTAAATCTTTATGGGAGTAGAAAGCCTCATATTTCTCCTGCAGAGCAGCTGGTAAATTTAAACTGCTGACCTTGCTGTTAGCAGTCCAGCTCATAATCCATTATGCTACCAAAGTATTCCAGTGAGTTGACGGAAAGTAGTTAAGACAGTGAGGATTAACAAGTAAATAAAAAGATGTCTGGTACTCTAAATCTATTTAAAAAGCACACCATATCAGATGCTATTGATAAAATTAGGACACAGAGAATTCCTGACTGGGATTTCTACAGAAAACAGTAGTCCTAACAAATGTGAAAAGAGCTTTAAGCATTCCAGTTGATTGTTAATACTAATCTTGCTCTATGGGGCTGTGTCCAGTATTGTCATGTTGTTGTTGTTGCTATGTGCTGTGGAGTCGGTTCTGACTCATAGCGATCCTGTACAGGGTTTCTGAGGCTGTAAATCTTTATAGGAGTAGAAAGCCTCATCTTTCTTTGACGGAACAGCTGGTAGTTTTGAACTGCTGACCATGATTTGTAACCACTACGCCACCAGGGTCCTACAAAACCCTTATGAACAAACTCATTAAAAACAAAACAACGAACACAGCAAAACTACATGCTACTTGGTTTTATTTCAGACTGTCATGCCATCAGCACCTTTTCCCAGTGGCTACATTTCTGAAAAACAGATGAAAAGAAACACAGCAAATACATAGAGGAATCCAATACCTAGTGTAGTTCAAGTTTTCTGTGATGGCATTGTTAATGAAATTGCTGTCATCACTGAGAAACATCTCTTAATATTTTACACAGTGAAAGACCATACAAAAGGAAAATTATACCATACCCCAGGATCTTCAACAAGAGTCACAACTCTTCCAGGCTGTTTTAAAAAAGGAAATAAATAAGTTTTTTTTCTGAATTAAAAATTAAAGTTCATTACATAACTGAGCATTAGCAACTGAATGTTGATGTGGAGTATTTTAACTACATTTCATCATACTAAGCACTTCTTTAAAACTAATTAAGTAAAATAATTACTTTATGTAAGCTATCATGGCCTTTCTAAAATATTTCCATCAACTTGTATATATCAGGTATATTAACTTAAAGTGGTTACATTAAAAAACATATTAGTACCTTACAGTTTATCTAAAATGAATGGCACAATGAATCAGCAGTTAAATAAAACGTGCTGTTCCTCACCTTCGGAAAAAAAGATTACTATAGTTTTATTAGAGTATTCTCTAATAATGACATTCCAGGATACTTTCTTGAAAGGAAGTGAGTGGTTCTTAAACTTTAGCATGGATATGCTAGGCTCTCCCCAAGTTTCCGATTTTATAGGTCTGGAGTCATTTGAAAATGTTCCACTTTGACATCAATAACGGGTTGGGGATAACACTTTGAGAACCATCATTATACAGGAATACTAAGGGATTGTAAACATAAGAGAAAGGCTCTAATCTTACTGTATATGGTAATGGGTACCTTAGGCCTCTTTCCTTTTTTGCATTCATTAACAGCTTTTCATTGTCCTATGAAGAAGTTAATATTAGAACTGGCCTGTTCATAGTTCCTCGTATAAGGACAACTAGACCACTGGTGTTCCTAGTTGTCCTCGTATAAGGACAACTAGACCACTGGTATCTTTCTAGTTTGGTTTTAATTTCAGGTCAGTTAACAATTATTTGGGTATTAATTATTTAGATGTTTTCATTTATTAAAGAAAAACCTATATTATGAAAAGAAACTACTTTGTATCATTCAATTTGAAATTGGAATGAGATATGACTCCAAAACAAACTGTTTTCTCATTTCAAAGGCTGAAAAAAATACTGCTTATATACTAAAAAGCTTACCAGAAAGTTGAGACTTGGGATATTCCATAATTTAAACCACAAAAGTGATTTAAACCATGGGTGCAAGTTTTTGTTTTTGTTTTTTAAAATAAAATCCCTACCTGGTGCCAAAGACTGTATGTGTCTGCTGGTCTGTTAACATTAGTGAGAATGCTGAATTGTATGCCACATTTGTACCCATTTACATCAATGCTTTTGTACATCTGGCTTGAATCATTCAGATATTTCAACTTTGTAGCTATTTTGTCTAGTTTTTGTCCATATGTTTGAGTATTTAATAATCAAGTAATACATCATGGGACATTAGATTACAATTTTTCATTTAACTATACTTTCCTGTGTTTCAGTAATTATATAATTGTCTGTCATTGATGATGTATAATTGAAACATTAGTGTTGTCAGACATTTAGATTTTTGAGTTTTCTATTTTAGATAATGCTACAGTGAGGATGAGAGTCCTGGTGTGAAACTGTAGAACAAGCAATGGACTGCTAACCACAGGTTTGCAGTTCAAAACCACTAGCTGTTCCTCCTTGCAAAATCTATACCTGATTGCTAAGAGTTAGTATCAACTTACAGCATTTAACAACGAGGACACATAAGAAGGGGCTTTAAAATTCTATTTCTTTTAATTCCATTTTTTTTCTATGAACTTTTTGAAGTCCCTTTGTGTACTGGTGTGGATAATGTTACCCACAGGTATTATCAGAAAAATAAAGATTTTCTGGTACTCTAAATCCATGACGGGACTTCAAAAACTTCTAGGGCAAGACCACACCAAATGGAATGTCTAACTTTAGCAAAGCGTTCCCTCCCCTATGTGAGAGAAGATTTAAAAAGCTGATTAGAGGAATAGGATAGAGTCAGATTTGAAAAGCCAGCGAGGGGAGTTGAAATTAGAGGATAATAGAAAAAAAGCCACTAAAATGTGGGAGGAATTGGAAATAAGAGCTGGGTGACTGAGTAAGGAACCCTGCTGGTGCAGTGATTAAAGTTTTCAGCTGGTAACAAAAAGGTCAGTGGTTCAAACCCATCAGCTTCTCCTTGTAAGAACTATGTGGCAGTGTACTTGCTTAAAAATGTGTTTGAAACCCTTTGGGACAGTTCTGTGTCATAGAGAGTTGCTAGGAGTGTGAATTGATGGCAGTGAATTTTTTGTTTCAGTGATTTGAGAAATTGACTTGTATGGTAACAAATATTTAGAGAAGATTGTTGTTGTTAAGTGCCGTCAAGTCGGTTCCGACCCAGAGCGACCCTGTACAGGGTTTCCGAGGCTGTAAATCTTTACGGGATCAGAAAGCCTCATCTTTCTCCCGCGGAACAGCTGGTAGTTTCAAACTGCTGACCTTAAGCTTCGCAGCCCGATTCGTAACCACTATGCTACCAGGTGGTAAAATATGTTGTTGTTCAGTGCTGTTGAGTCGATTGCAACTCATTGTTACCCTTTAGGGTTTCTGAGGAGCAGCTGGTGGATTTGAACTACCAACCTTGTAGTTCACAGTCCAGTGTTTATGTACTGCACCATTATCAGGGGTCCTGGTAAACTATAGAATGTGCAAATTAAAACAGAAGGAAGACATTGAGTAAGAAATGTTAGTGGTCCAGGTGACAAGTTCTACTCCTTCCCACCTCTCCTTGCTACTCCTTACGTCCAGCCCAGCCACCAATTCTTGACAGCTTTGTCTTCTGAATTTGGTTCCTCTTTGTTTTTCAGTAGCCTCTTTAGGGATCTCCCTGCCTCCCTCTAGTTTTGCTTCCCTTCAGTCTGTTCTCTCCATGGCACTAGATGATTTTCTGGGCCAGTCACTCAAGCGTTTCAAATTCTTCAAAGGTTGTGGTACTATTCTACAGGATAAAATCAAAGTTCCTTAGTACAAGTTAACTATACAAACTTCATTTCTTACCATTTTCCCCAAGTTAAAGTGAATTATTTATAATTCCTACAAATCCTATTTTTTAATATGTTGTTAAGTGCTATTGATTCCAACCCATAGCGACCCTATACAGGGTTTCTAAGGCTGTAAATCTTTATGGGAGCAGAAAGCCTCATCTTTCTCCCGTGGAACAGCGGTTCGCAGCCCGATTCGTAACCACTACACTACCAGAGCTCCTTTTTTTTAATATACTGGTGCCTATTGTGGAGTGTCATACCCCCTACTGGGATTTCCTCCAGCCACTCTTTCCATAAGGCTTGGCTGACTTCCCAGTGGATCTAAGGTTACCTTTGCCTAAATTCTCATTAGTTCTGTCTTTCATTTCCCCTGAAGCACTCTTCACACGTTACTGTTTGCTTAGGTGTTTCAAGGAAGTGGAGGGGTAGTGAAGTCCTGGATTGGGTTGGTGGCAGTTGGGAAAAAAAACAAGATTTATGTAGTCTTTTCAATGGAAAATAAAATGGTTTCTGTTACTGCTTAGGTAACAGATACAAAATGGAATAATGCTGGCACTGCTGATAAGTCTACTTGGAAATATTTTCTAGAATTAAGCTCTTTGCCCCTAAAAAAAAGTTACTGAAAAACAATGTTAGGGTGTAAATAAATACATTACACTGCCTTCTCTTTTTTTGGCACTTAAACTGAAAAATGAGTCTTTAAAGCAGAACAGGATTGGAGGATGCTGTGAAATATTTCATTCATGCTGGGTATTTTCATTTGCTGTTGTTATTACTGTCAAGTTGGTTCTAACTCATAGTGATGGGTTTGAAATGCCAACCTTGTGGTTCAAAATGCAGTGCTGATTCTGTAATATCACACCAAATCATGTTTCTGATCTAGAGCTAGAAAAGCTTGGGACTAATAAATGTTCATGGTTATCCCTAATATTAAACTGTTTCCTCTTTTGAAATTGTAATATATTCTCTTTGATGTTTGAAAACTTTTCACATTTCAAAAAAGTCCTAATTTTTATGAGAAACTGCCTATGAAATATAAATATAGAGAGATGCTTAATTAAATTTAGGAAGAAATTAAAGCTTAATGAAGCTAAAAATAAAGCATAACTTAGTAAAGCAAGTAGGTTCAGTATATTTCCCACAAATGTCACACAGCACTCACTATATGGAAATGGGCCAAACACTTGTTTAATAATACCTCATTTCATATGCTAATGAGATGTGATGACGAAATTAATAATAACATATATCTAATACAGCATAAGGAGCTCTGGTAGTGTAGTGGTTACAAATCGGGCTGCGAACCACAAGGTCAGCAGTTTGAAACTACCAGCTGCTCCGCGGGAGAAAGATGAGGCGTTCTGCTCCCGTAAAGATTTACAGCCTCGGAAACCCTGTACAGGGTCGCTATGAGTCGGAACCGACTCCACGGCACATAACAACAACAACAATACAGCATATGCCAGTCTTCTAATTTGCAGAATATTTCTACAGCCTTTGTGTTCTTGTTTGTCAAAAAGTTAACATTTATATACAATTAGCAACTCATTACAGTGAAAAGTGAGAAGTAAGATGATTTTGTTCTTTCTTTTTTTGTGAAGGACAGTATACTCAGAAAATACTTAGTACTTAAATTTTCCTTTCATTTTTTATGATGTAAAATAGACATTGGCTTTTATAGCTCTCTTCTTTTAAAGTGTCATGAACTGCTGTATGATTTGACCATTTCTTGTCCTAAGTATGTTCTGACAGTTACATATGTACATAAGAAACATACATTTTGATTAAGACTGTTGTTATTGTTAAGTGCTATTGAGTTGGTTCTGACTCACAGTAACCCTATATTGAGTTTCAAAAGTACGGCTGGTAGGTTTGAACTACTGACCTTACGGTTAGCAGTCCAGTATTTATCCTATAGTGCTGCATCAAGATACCATATGCAGTAAAATATGATACTGTAGCCACATCCACAAGTATTTAATACTTGGTCATTAAAATTGGATCCTTGGGCAAATCCTTTTCTCTTCAGAATGGCAATTTTCTGGGTCTACATCAAAACTATATACCGTAAGTAATTTCCTTTTTCAAGTCATTCTGTCCAACATCTCAGTAGGCCAGAAAGTACTGTAGTTATGTGCCATCGATTCAGTTCTGACTCATTGACCCTGCACAGGGATTCCCAGAGCGGTTAGGAGTCCTGTGCTTATAATACAGCACCACACCAGGGCCTATAGGCCAATAATGTTGTTGTTAAGAGCCATCGAGTCGGTTCTGACAAATATTGACCCTATATAGGGTTTCCGAGGGGCGGCTGGTGAGTGAACTGCCCACCTTGTGGTTCAGACAGACCTTTAACCCACAGTGTCACACCAGGGCTCATAGGCCAGTAAAGTCTGCTTCAATGCGTACACCTTAATTGATTAACTTTTGTTGAGAATGGCTTTTTAACTCAGGTTCTTTCCATGACTCTAATTCTGTTCCTTTTATGAGGAGGTACAAACCACTTTGGAGCCTTTATCCCGTCCTCTATTTCTTTGGAAATACTACACATATCTTTCTACGCCTGAGTTTGAACATTTTAGATGTTGTGTTTTGGGATCAATATTAATTATTTTATACCAAACCACAGCCTACTGTCAGTGAGTCGATTCCTACTCATAGCAACCCTTTTATAAGGACAAGGGAACTGCTCTGTAGGGCTTCTGAGACTCTAATCTTTACCGGAGCAGACACCTTCATCTTTTCCCCCCAGAGCGGCTGGTGAGTTTAAACCTCTGACCTTATAGTTAGCAGCCAAATGCTCTGAACCCATTGTGTCTTTATTTTGTAAATACAGTAACAAAGCCTGTAGTCTTATGAGTATTTCAGAGAATGCAAGCAAAAAAAAATTTGTCCAAGTTGTCCAAATTATGAGTTACCCAAAATTTAGTGTTCTTTAGGGATTAAAGTGAGTTATTTTGTAAACAATACAAGGTTGAGTAATGTAATTCTTTGTATATGCGTATAGAATAATTGGCTGAAAAATATTTCAAATAACGTATTTCACAAATATGGACAAAGTAACATTAAAATGCTAGATATGTGGGTTTGGAACTGTGTTCACGCATGTGACCAAGAACTTCTTTTATCTTTGCTGGCTGGCAACCCAAGTGATTAAAACAAGCTCCTTTATAACTGGAGATCATTTTGGAAACTAGTTCTTACGTGTATAAAGTAAAACTTTTTTGTAAAGTTTTAAAGAAATCTCAGAAATAACATGTACATTTGAACTTCAACCAATCAAAGTGCCAGAATACAGAAATGCAAAAAATTTAATTGCTAAAAAGCTGAATATGCAAATTAATCTTAGTATTTCAACTCCTTGGTGACAGAAAGGTTCGCTTTGCTGTCTTCATTTTGGGGCCTGAAGTTGCCAGGTGAGCCCACCTCCCAGCATGTCTGCCCCGTGTGAGCTTATATATTATATGCCTGTGTCCGCGAGTCTAACCTCTTCTAGAAACTTAAGAAGCCATCTCTAGAGGCTTTGGAGCCTACGTTGCTTTTGGGGTCAGATGGCCGCACTGGATGCAGAAGAGTAACAGCTTTATACCCCCACCCCCACCCCGTGTGCTCGGCCCCCAGGATACATTGAGGTGATTTCTGTACCCTGGGCCAGGAGTTGGGGAGAGGTGTCCCGGGGGCAGTGAGCGATGGGGGCTGGCTGGCGCCTCACCTTGCCGGGGACCCCGCGGTGGTCCGTGCTTCCCTGCCAGAAGCGACGGCTGTAGCCCGTGATGTAGCCGACCAGTTTGTCCTGATAGGGGAAATCCACCTTCCATATCAAGGACCCGTAACCAAATACCCACATCCTTTCCTTGCTCCTCCGACGCAGGGGCCGTCAGCTTGCCTGCAGTGGTTCTCAGCCACACCGGCTGAGACTGTGGTCTCCGGAAAACAAGCTACTGGCTACGCGGGCGCAGGCGCAATTGCGCTTGGTCGCAAAGGACACTGGGACTTGTGTTATGAGGAAGGATTTCCTACGTGGTTTCAGTAATAGTATTTTGTAGTTGCTTAGAGGTCAGGAAGCATTGACATTTTTCTGTGTATTAAGCAGCGGATTCCTGCAATCTCTGTAAACCATCCGAACCGACTATTCACCTTTTCCTCTGTGCAGAAGAATACACTACCCACAATTCTTTTCAGAGGTTGATGGCGCTGAAGTTAGAACTGTCTGCATTTTTTTCTAACCGGGAGGGGAAGGAAAGGAGAAGGAACAGCAGTAACTGTGCTATCCCGATAGGGAGATATATGTGCAAGCACGAAGTTGACACGTAGAAAGACTTTATGTTCTGCTTTGAAAGTTAGATTTCTGCCCACACAACAGCCGACGTATTTACTTCAACACTTATTTTCTATTGTTTTATTCTTCCTTTTAATAAAAGTAGAGCGTTGACTAAAAGAGACATTTCATGCCCACGAAAGAGCTACTGTGATGGCAGTGTAAAGTTTTTATATGTCGTAAAATTTCACGTGAAACGACCATATTTATATTTTTAGTTTTCCCAGCCGCTCACTTAGAAAAGCGCAGGCAAAGGTTCTTAACATGGGTCGTAGGGGCAGACTTTGGAAGTGAGCCAAGGAATTTCCTGAAATTGTATACAGAATTTGAGGTGTATGTGCATTTTCTTAGGGCCCTTTATTCCAGGAGTAAAATGGCCTAACAATTGTTAAAAATTTACTGGTTATAACAACAACAACTGGTTAGTAATCACACTTGGGAGTCCTGGTGTGGTGCTGTGCGTTAATACGCTGGACTGCAAAGTCACTTTGAACCGCAAAGTTGGTGGTTCAAGCTCACCACCTGCTCCTTGGAAACTATACTGGGTCGCTATGGGTCGGAACTGGCTCTACAGCACTTAACAACAACAAGGTGCACACTTGGACCATAATGTGTCTGCTTGTGTGTCTTTGCCTTACCAAATCATTGCGCCTCATTAGAGATTTCTAATATTTCATGGTCTTTAGCTTTATAAAAAAAGGCTGCTACAACATCCAGACGTAGTGTTTTTCTTCTTCAAACCTATAGGAAATTTGGCTACAAAGAAAAACTTTATGAGTAAATATTTTCATATCTCACATGCCCCTGCCCCCAATGATCTATGTTTTGAAAAATTTCAAGCATGCAGAAAAGTAAAACAACAACAAAAAAACCTTAATGAAAATCTTATGAATAGCAGCTAAATGTCTTCTGATACAATGCTGAAAGTTGAGTTGCTCAGTTTGATATGTACTCCAAATATGTCTGGGCGAGAGCTGCCTCAAAGTAGAATCCACCTTAATGAGAGGGAGGGAGTAAAGCTTTTGAAACCTTATTTGCTGATGAGGCTCAACTCAAAATGAGAAGAAACAGCTGCAAACATCTATTAACAATTGGACCGTAGAATATACAAAGTATGAGTCTAGGATAATTAGAAGTCAGAAATGAAATGAACACATAAGGATTGATACCCTAGGCTTTAGTGAACTGAAATGGACTATAATTGATCATTCTGAATTGAACTATTGGTTTACTATGCTGGGAATGACAAATTGAAGAGGAATGGCATCGTGCTAATTGTGGAAAAGAGCTTTGCAAGCAAGATCTATTTGGAAGTACAGATAGAATAATGTCGTCCATCATCCTGATGTAACACTGTAGGATTACAAGGCTAGCAGTTCAAACCCATCAGCTGCTTCTTGGGAACCCTCCACGGAGTTGCTGTGTGTCAGAACTGACTCAATGGCACTTAACAACAATGTCAAAGAAGACCTATTAATATGCCTGTTACTCACATTTATGTACCAAACTTTAATGCCAAAGATGAAGAAATTGGAGACTTTTACCAACTTCTGCAGTCTGAAATGGATCAAATGTAATCAAGATACCTTGATAATGACTGTTACTGGAATGTGAAAGTTGGAAATAAAGAAGGATCATTAGTTGAAAATATGGCCTTGGTGATAAAAATGATGATGTCAGAGATAACATGATAAGAATATTGCAAGACTAAAGAGTCACTGCATATACCTTTCCAACAACATGAATGGTGACCCCACATGTGGACCTCGCCAGATGGAATGCATAGGAATCAAGTAGACTATTGAAGAATTGACTTTTTATTTGTGAAGAATATTGAATATGCCATGGACTGCCAGAAAAACAAACGCATTTGTCGTAGAAGAAGTACAGCCACAATGCTCCTGTGACGTGAAGATAGTGAGACTTCATCTCAGGTACACTGGATAGATTATCAGGAGGGACCAGCCCTTGAAGCAGTAAGTCCATCATGCATGGTAAAGGGTAAGTGAAAAGAGAAAGACACTCAGAAAAATGGAGTGACAGTGACAGCATCAATGGACAAACATAAAAATGATTGTGAGGGTGGCAGAGGGCTGGCACTGTTTCATTGTGTTCTGCGGTCTCTAGGAGTCGAATTGGAAGTCATGGCACCTAACAACAGTGATCTCAAATGGTTTTGTAGTTGACGGTATTTTCACCCATCCAGGATAAAATTGAAGTTTATAAATTGCATTTGTGGTTTCATTTTTTTTTTCTCTCTTTTTATTGTGGTAAGTATATAGGGGGGTCCTGATGGTGTAGTGGTTAAAATGCTCAGTTGCAAACAAGGATGTGGCAGTCTTCTTCCATAATGACCTTATGGGGCAGTTCTGGTCTGTTCAGTAGGGTCGTTATAGGTTGGAATCAGCTTGACAGCAGTGAGTGTTTTGGGTTTTAAGTATATAGGATGCTACTTTTACATTCTTTACATGTCTACTGTCTTTTAATCTAGAACATAGAAAGGTTTCTATAAAAGAGGAATTCTTAACACACCTTGCTCATTTTAGCTAGGCCATATTAGGAGTTGAAGAAATACCCTGTTGTATGTATGTATATATGCATATACATAGGTTTTCCTGTGTG